TTGCAGGCAATTTTAAATGCAACATTACATAGCTATAAATTAATACAATTATGAGAAAACATATTTCGAGCCAATATGTTGTATTCGGCAGTTGCAAAATGTTCATATTTATTATACACAAATAAAACGTTCGTCATAAAAATAGTTTTCGTAATGCAATGATATTTCCTATAAAAGAGCCTTGACATTCTAAACTGTTTCATTTTGTTATAATGTAGTGCTCCATATGCTTTACATAGAGAATATTTGAAACATCTTTACTTTGATATTATAAATGTTACGATTTGCCATTATTTTTTATATCACATAAATAGAGAAGACGAAGTTTACCCGTCCACCGCTTATTATATTAAATGCCTGCAGTAATAATTTTAATCAATATATGCAGTTACACTTTACGATATGCGTGAAGCTAGTGTACCAGTTGAAAAATGATCATCCGTTGGTCATTTGTACAATTGTTAGAGTGGCACAATAACTTACACGGAACATATACTTTACATTTTAGATATCTTGTTAGGTTCAAAATCAGTTCTCATAATGTACGTCATGTCTTTTTTAAACGTCCAACAATCCACTCAAGACCTTGGTATAATCTGTAACATTGATACATACAATGAAAATTTGGAAATATTTAATGAAATACCTTAACTATGACATTAGATATGCAAGAGACAAAAATCAAATGTACTTTAAAAAGTATAAATATAAAATTAATATAGATTCAATACTATCTGACAATTATTTCCTTATATGTAATAAGTTCTACTTGTGAAGGGAAAATCTGAAAGTTTATAGGCAATATTACATTTTATAAAAGCCAAAGATTGTAAGTATATAACGTTCCCGCATTATTAATACTTAAGTTTCTTATTCCTTGTTAAACGCAAATACATTTTATTGTTATATGTGAGACGTGATGCGTAAAACAGTGAAAATTATTGTGACACAGTGCTGTAGTTACACACGCTTAATTTACCTTCATTGCCAAAGAAGCTCCACAATTTTGCGAACAGTAGCCCCATATTGATGAAGATACTAAACAACTGCGGATGCTAATGTTTATTTAACCGTACACTTGTGCAGTCTTATTCTTTACAAAAAAAGTGTTTGGTTTCAGAAGTGGGACATCTCATTGTCAAAGGGTTATGTTCACTCTTCTATTATCTTCTTTGTCAACATTATTTAGAGAATTTAGCGCCATTATTGACGCATTACACTGTGGAACATATACTTGAGAACTGTTGCGAATTTGTTAAAATTTCACTAAGGCTAACGAGAAAATGAAAGAAATTGGTATAGTGAAGACCTTTCTTTAATCTAATCAAGCAAATCACGACATGTTGAGTTTCCAATTAAAACATCCATATGTGCGCTGCGACCAATCATTCTTTGGCAGTAACCGAAAGTGATCAGTCTTGTATAAATGTACGTCGATTGGAGGTAAAATATTCTTAGCTAAACGCGCGTAGAACAATTTGAAATAAGTAGTCCTCGTCGTATGAGATTAAGATTATCTATACGTATAGCCCTGGATTTTGCTGAATCACTTCTTTTTCTTTACGTGACGAGGAGGTGGTAACATCATAGTCACGTATAACATCTGATCATAGTATAATGGTCAGAAATACATAATTGATGTTATATATATATTAGAATTGTTATGTCCTCTAAATTAATAGGAGTATATGGTTTTGCATTGTGTCCTTACCCTTCTCCAGTAAGTGCGCAACAACTTTGTATATGCCACTGATGTTTCTTAATCGAAGTCAAATCTAGCTGTCTAGAAATTTCAGCCGCTGTCATGCTACCCTTTAAATCTTGCTTGTTAGCATAAACTAAAACATTAGCTTTACTTAATTCCTCATGGTTTAACATAGAGTATAATTCTTCTCTTATTACACCAAGTCTTTCTCTATCTGTGCTGTCTATAACCATAATTATAAACTCAGTGTTCGTGTAATAGGTGGACCATGCTGCTCTTAAGCTTTGTTGTCCACCCAGATCCCACATTATGAAATGAATATTTTTCCAAACAACTTCTTCAACGTTAGATCCAATAGTCGGTGATGTATGAACAACCTCGTTCATTAGGAACTGGTATAATATAGTTGTTTTACCAGCATTGTCTAATCCTACCATTACTATCTTATGTTCTGGAAAATGAAGCAATTATAAATCACAAAGGTCTAATATAGTTTTTAAGTCATGATTATAGCAAGTAATTTATTTAAAACTTTTCATAAAATCATCCTTATATTATTTGAAAGAAAACTATACAGGAAACATATGGTAGCATATGTTTAAAGTAGAACAATGAAAATTTGGAANAATTTTAATATAAAATGTCTGTATAGGCCATATGTGCAAAAGCAAATGGAGAACCTTGCTGTGACTGGGTTGGAGAAACAGGTGCAGGACACTTTGTAAAAATGGTACACAATGGTATTGAGTATGGTGATATGCAGCTTATTTGCGAAGCGTATCACATTATGCGAAATGGTTTGAATCTTCGTCCAGACGAGATGAGTCGAGTCTTTGATGAATGGAACAAGGGAGAGCTGGATTCATTTTTAATTGAAATTACGAGAGACATCCTTATGTATAAAGATGAAAAAGGCTACTTATTGGAGCGTATCAGAGATACTGCTGGTCAAAAAGGAACTGGAAAATGGACAGCTATTGCTGCGTTGGATTACGGCGTGCCTGTAACTCTAATAGGAGAATCAGTCTTCGCTAGATGTCTTTCTGCTTTACAAAGTGAGAGAATACAAGCAAGCAAAGTATTGACAGGACCTGATGCCGTGTACCAAGGTGACAAGAAGCAGTTTTTGGAACATTTGAGAAAAACTCTTTATGCTTCAAAAATCATTTCTTACGCACAAGGGTTTATGTTATTAAGAGAAGCTGCCAAAATTTATAATTGGAATTTAAATTATGGTGGTATAGCCCTCATGTGGAGAGGTGGATGTATTATAAGAAGGTCAGTATTTTTTGTCAAAAAATGTGTTATTTAAGTATAACAGGGTATAATATAGGTAGTATAACAAGATTTCATCGTATTTTTTTATTTTCAGTGCTTTCTTGGGAAATATAAAAGCTGCATTTGATAAGAATCCAAAACTTTCTAATCTGTTAATGGATGACTTCTTTGCTAAAGCGATGAAAGAATGTCAAGCTAGTTGTAGAATAGTTGTATCTACAGCTGTATCCCTGGGCATACCAACTCCTGCATTGTCAACTGCCTTGGCTTTCTACGATGGTTACAGAACTGCTCGACTTCCAGCTAATTTACTTCAAGCCCAAAGAGATTACTTTGGAGCTCACACTTACGAACTACTTGGACAAGAAGGAAAATTTGTACACACTAACTGGACTGGACATGGTGGCAATGTATCTGCTTCTACATACGATGTATAAAAATAATTAACACAACTTTAAATCAACAGATTCTATATAAGTACATGAAGTTTGTGATTGATACATGTTTATATGTATTATATTTCTAATACAAGGATGGTTGTGAAAAACCAAAAAATCACTTTTTGTAAATACTTTTTAAATGATAGAAGGACACATTCACTTTTGAAAGATATAAATGTACATAGGTATAAGTATGTTATTAATCAAACCGGTTAATGGAATGTACCTACTTTATGAAAAAACTGCTGACTATAAAAATTATATATATTTGCTTAGGAAATGAAGACAGTAAGATTTATGTTATGTACTAACATATTACTAATTCTCTTTTATATAAGAAAGTCGTAAACAGATATATATATACGTGTGTAAAGAAAATAGTAGAGCATGACTTTAAATTGGTCGACAGCACATGTGAGACCAATGCGGAAGTAATTTAATCTAACCTTTCTGTTACAATTATTACCATATCACATTTCACAGTAACAAAATATCGACAAATGTATTTTATAAATTCTAACATATTATTCAATACCAGTTTCAAACTTGTTACGCAGTCAATTCTTAATTTAAATGCTTAACAAAAATCGTGTGTTCACGTACACAATAATACCGACATAGACTAAAATGGAAATCCAAGTAAAAATAACAAATTTCAAGCCATGAGTCACCAAAGTTAAATAAAACTGGTAAATCCACTATAGTTTAGATTACTAACAAATCCTTCATATTGTTGCGTCAAAATAAATTGTTTGTTAGTAAAATAATCAAATAATATTCCATATATGAAAATGTACTACTGTAATAATTTTAATAATTCAAAACTGATTTATTTAAAAAGAAATCAAATTATGTAGCACTGTAAAAGAAACATAATTCTAGGAGAATAAATTGATAAACGTGTTGAGATTGTTACTAGTGCAATTAAATTGTGGAAAATGTTATTGGAAAATTGATATAGACCCCTGCATTTTAGCCGTCCCTGAAGCGCAGTAGTTTCACTGACCGTAGACGGGCGATTGGATCGGGCGATGTAGTCAGTCAGTCGTCAGTCAGTCTCGTTGGTCAGTCTACGGAGCGTTCATTTGCAAAATGGCTGACCACAAGGAAAGGGATTCATACTATTCACAGACGGATTTAAGATCGAAAAATGATGATCCGCCGAATTCGCGTTTATTTGTTATATGTCACAAGAGTTTGGAAGAAGACGACCTCAGGAAAGCCTTTGAAAAATTTGGGAAGATAGAAGATATTTGGGTGGTTAAAGATCGAATTACAGGCGAAAATAAAGGTAATTTCTCCTGTCTATAAAATAAATCAATAAGTTTTTGTTTTATTTTATAATACTTTTTATATATCCATAACTTAGATTTCACTTTTCCCTACTTCTTAAGAGTTGTTCAGTTGTGCGTTTTCGATATGTTAGTTAAGCATTTAAATAGCAATGTGCATTGTTTATATAGGGGTTACATACATCAAATTTTCGAAAACGTCAGAGGCAGCTTTTGCTCTCGAAGAAATGAATGGGAAAATGTTGGGTTCAGTTGGAAGACCTATTAAAGTAATGATTGCTTCAAAGTAAGAGTTGCATTAATTAGAAATGCATTTGAAAAACCCTGTCATTTGAGTGTTGATATTTTGATAACAGATTTTAACATTTCTTTCAGTCGTGATCAAGGCTCTGTGAGAGAAACGAACGAAGAAGAAAGATGGGTTCGTTTGTTTTGTGTGTTACCTAAGTGCATGACAGATAGTGAACTTCAACAAGAATTTTCAAAATTTGGACCTATCGAGTATGCGACAGTGGTTAAGGATAGAAATACAAATGAGTCGAAGGGGTTTGGTTATGTGAAATTTAAAAAAGTATCTAGTGCCGCAAGAGCATTTGAGGAATGTGACAGGAAATATAAAGCTGTATTTGCTGAACCAAAAAAGCCAAAACCAGAACACGTTGATGTAAAATATAATAATGGAATATCTTCTCATTATGATGGTGCCAGTGCCGGTTATAGTTCATCAAATTTTGGGAGAAGTAGTATTAGTTTAGAAATTGCCACAAATTATCCTAATTCCGAGGGCTATACGCATTTGCAAGTACTCGCACATCCAGCATTAAATCAAGATCAATTGTGGAAATTGTTTGACATTGTACCTGGATTGGATTATTGTCATTTAAAGAATGAAAGATGTAGATTGCCAAGAGGCCAGGCTGTTGTAGTATATTCTAATCCTAGTGCAGCGGCGTATGCAAGAGAAAAATTTCATGGTTTTGAATATCCCCCTGGTCATAGGATGATTGTGAAACCTGATTTGTCAAGTGTACCACCAAAAAATGCAATAAAAGCTGGGAGTTCTAGTGGCGGAATTGCTAATGCCAGGACAGATTTAGCACATCTGGCTGAAACTATTGCTCAAGCTACATCATTAATACAAGCAGCTGGATTAACTGCACCAAGTGAGATATCACTTATCTGTGTATCATCGTTAATGTATAATTTCATTTCATAACTGTATTTTTACATTATCAGGTTTAGAACATTCAATGTGTCTTAAGTTACCACCTGTGCAACCAATGGCTAGCATAGATGCCGAGGTTGCTAAACGGTGTTTTATTGTTTGTGGGCCTCCTGTACCTCCTATATATGCCATGAAGGATGCTTTCTGTAGGTTTGGAAACCTAATTGATGTGTATATGCTCCCTGGAAAGAATTGCGGTTACGCAAAGTACGCTAGTGTCCAGAGTGCAAACGAAGCAATTGAGGTATAATTTGTTAGCAATCGAAAATCATTTTTAATGGGACGGACATAAGAGATTTAGGAGTATAATCAAATTGCAAATAATAATGACCTGTAGGTTTTGCATGGACAAGAAATTTGTGGGTCCCGACTGAAAGTATTAGAAGCAGAAGAGCGTAACGTCGGTGAAGATCGTAGGAAACGACTACGAGTGGACGAAGACGAAAACTAATTTTTTTTTTGTATACCTCGTAAGTAAATCGCTGAGTATATGGGAAAGAGATCGGAGGGAAAGAAAGAGGCATTTAAATATTAACACCCTGACGTTGTAACTGACGATTAACTTGGGAAACAGAAGAAAACGTAATTTTTCTATTTGTCTTCACAGACTGACTGGTATACACAAGCTGGACGCACGCAATAAAAGAGACGAATTTTAAGACTCACTTGACCACGTCGGGCCCGCATCCAAGGAAACTACTCCAACTACCTACTTTTAACTACCGCTTACGTTCGCGATTGCAACATTACTGAAACTTTAACGCTACTTTACTTTGTCCTTACTTGTCATTACACGTACACCTGACTTCCCGGTTTTATTATTTTAAGAGGCCTGTGCGAAAAGTGATCTTAAATATTCAATTTAAGAATATATAGAGCACACAAATCTAGTTAAATTTGGAAGTTCTTCCTTTGTAACAAGGAAGGTATATGATGCAATATATTCAAGGCGTTTATTGTTGTTATAATAATATACGGCAGGTATTAGTCAGAGGTAAGACTATTTCTCTATGCATATACTTTTGTATGAAGTATATAATGTCAAAACGAAAGTTTGTTCCAAACAAAATTTCTAAAAAAGAAGAATACATTTTATACATGAATTAAATAAATGGAAGAATTATGAAAATTTAAGGAGAATAATATAAACTTAAATTATCTCCAAATTTTATATTCTTGTTCATGAAACAAGATATGTTATTATCAATTGTAATATTAATTGTAACTATTCGTGCAGGCTTTAAGACGTAACCTGTGCTCTAGAATTAATGAAACAAATTTTTGTTTATAATTTATATTCAACATAGTTGTGTATTATTCTTTTATCAATCGTAGTATGTATGAAAGGAGACGTAAACGTAATTTAATTCTTGTGTGTGTTCCAAGAAATATTTCCGCGATGTCTAAAGTAACAACGTAATCCTAAAATTTTTAATTCCAAAACAAGATATATTTTTTATAAATCAATACATTTACTTGCAAATACTCTACAAATGTGATATTTCACGTATCAATTTAAATCAAGTTATCAACAATCAAGAAATATAATCATAATGAAAGTGCACCACTTAATCGAATGTTTATGGAAATTAAAGCCGCTTTTGAAATTATGATTTTTACTTTAGTGACTTGAGATGTAAATAAATAATTTAGGTCGTACTATTAACTACATCTTATAATAATATTTTATGCGTAGTCTAGTAGAGAATTACTTTGTATAAGCATCAGACAACTAGAAAGTTACATTTTTTATTATTCTATTACGAGTATATCTTGTTTTGGATTTGTGAACATAAAGATATGTTCACACGGCATAGATATATTTCCAGAAAGTACATCGACATGTTACTTTTCATAATTGGGTCACCTTACGTTGAGAAAAGAAATTTTTTTTAGGGAGTATTATGTCCATAATCACAATTCGTCAAATACCAATTATTGACGCACAACATGAACGTTTTATGATGGACACTTTTGTACATGTATTAGACTGTTTCACCCAATGACCGTACATGATAATGTTTTAGGAGACTGTAACTGACTTATTTGATGATATTAAAATACACAGAAAGTATTCAAAACCTTACACGACTTCCACTTATTTTTTTTTTAAACACTGAACAGAATATCTTACTTTACGTTATGCTTGTAATAATTGGTCAATCTGACATGAATTTTCTTTCAATTTTCAGGATACCTCAAGAATTCAAAGATGTGTACCTGATGACTGTGATATAGCTGAGTAAGATGTTACTATTATTGTGTATATCCAATATATAAAATACAAAGAATAAATTATAATTTTATATTATAATTTCTCATTTTTCTTACTTGGCAAATATTGTAATGCCAATCATGAGATTGTATTTATATTCGCACTTGTTTACGCATTTCACTTTTATACGTACTGCACTTTTACAATATACGTGATGTTTATAATTTACTTTTCGCATATTTCTTTGATATGTTCACAAAATGTGCAATAAAAAGAATTTTTATAGAAAAATCGGACATGCGTTGTGTATTATTGTTGACCGATCCCCCCGCGCGGTACATTCGGATTTGAATTTAAGGGCGATACCGGAAGTGGGTACCAGCGGATGTCGTAACAGCCCGCGAGAAATCAGCTTCGCTCGAGGAGAAGCGCAGAGTCGCAATCGCGGGGAAGAGACTATTTTAATCGTGTTGGACGTTCGCGAGGCTTAAGTGGGGCACGTTTTGCATCGATATAGGTTGACGATGAAGTGGAAGGGTACAGACTCACGTGTAGCCGAACGTGCTGTATGATGCGGAACAGTCGCTCCGCGCGAAAGATACGTACGGTGTGGTTTCAGTGCCCATAGATATGAGCGACAAGAACGTAACGTGTTGTGTGTTATTATTGTGAAACCATTTAAGAATTTTTAATGAAAGACCTCCTTCCTCGGTTAGTTTAATGACTTTTTCTTACGATCGAATAGGTGGTGTTTCATTTTTTAATTTAATTAGTAACAGTGAATACGATCAATTTAAAGTAAGAGAACTCTTCTTCCGTTCCGTCTTATTCATACTTCGTATTAATGCGGACAATCTGTGACACCGTGTGTACCTTTATCTGTTCTCGTAGCATTTACTCCATGATATATAATAGAAATGACACGTGAACATCAAGTTTACTTGATTTAATTATACAGCAAGTGTTGTGACCCGACGGATATCGTTTCAAAGGAACATTACATTGAGAAGAGAATTATGGAAGAAGTGTCCACCGAAAATGCTAAGGTGTCAGATTCCGGTTATTCTAATACTTGCAGCAACAGTCAGTCGCAACGGAGGTACGTACCGAAATCTGTTTTTCTTTATACGCGTATTTTTGAAATCATACATTTCGCGGGTTATCGATTTAAATGAGTTCAGCGTGAACGATCACTTCTCGATGAAATCCCTTCATTTTTATTGGAATTGATGCATCATCACGTATAATTAATGAGTATCAATTCGATGGTGTGTGAATTATACCACATGATTTATTATCAGTTTTACTTGAGATTACGACGTGATAGACAGCGACTAAAAGAGTTAATCAAAAGATCAGGTCTTTCTTTATAAATTATAAATGAAAAAGCGTCTCATGTTATCATATTTCTTAACATTGATATTAACAGGTCAATAATAACGCTAACGATACTAAGAATAATTTTTATTTTATTTTTATTTTACATAATAATTATATTCACAACGTAAGTACATGTTACATCATAAAAGGAAGAAAGCAGACTAAAAAATAATAGACTAATGCATCCGCCTCGTTAAAATTTACTATATGTATACATTATATACAAAGCAGGTGATAAAGTGTTGTTGAAACTGAAACGTCTATTAATTCAATCTTATTCAATTATGTAGATCATGTGCCACGTATATACAAACGTTTAATGAACGTTCGCGTTAGATTGTGTAGGTATAATGAATGGTAGTCATTTCATAGAAGCGAGAAGCGTGATAATTGTTGTGCTATTTTATTTTTAACCGAAACAAATGCACGTAGAAAAATCTCACGATTATTGAGATGTATTCTCTTCTTTTTCTCTCATCCCCCTTTCCCTCTCCTCCTCTTTGTTCTTCCGTTTATTCTCTTTTTTTTTTCTAATCGATGAAACGGATGCTTGTGTAACTTTAATTTGCAACGTGTCTCCGAGCGGTATTCTATTAATGGAGATTCGCAGTTAGCCGGGCACGTTTAGTGAAACGTTTACGAAATACGTTAGCGCCAGAATGGAAAACGTTTTGCGCGTTGGAAAAGCGTTTCGATATGCCAGAAGTTTTGCAACTTTTTATCGCGAACCGAAACCTTACGAAAGGTGAAAGAAAGTTTCGTAACTATCATTTGCATATCCGAAGAAACCTTTGGTATTTTATTTCATTTTATCCGTGTCCCTTATCTGATTGATATTCAGCACGATAGGAATTGTTTACAGATAAAAAGACATAAATTCCTGAATTGGAACTCGATAATGGAGCATAGATTTATTTGAGGATCCTCTTATGGAACAAGCCATCCTGATGATTGACAGAATAAATAAATTAAAAATTCGCAAAACGCTGAGACAGTCCGTATCCGTATGGAGCGCATTAGCGCAGGATACTTGGCATTGACACGCTTAGCCGATGATGTAGGTGAGAGGTAGATGAAAAGCGCGGCGAACAAGAAGGATAGAAACTCGAACACTACGGTTAAGGCTAACTAGTTACTCAGCGAAGCATGTCGGTTGCATTTCTACGTTCGCATTTAATACATCTATTCGCAAGTTGCGAAACTCAATGAAAATAGGTCGAACGAATACTAGATTGCTGGTTACCGAGCTAACGAAAGTTCGATTAAAATGCTTCCTGCAGTCACGCGGTACCGCGCACGACTTACGAATAGAATGATTAGCAACTGAACAATTTTTGGTAATAAAATACATGTAGGATCGTTTAACGGGTTCGAAATTTCTTTAGAAGAATTATTTCAATATTTTCAATACATATCATCATACATACAATCATAAACATATGGATCAATGTGCGTGCCTGTATTCTCAGTTTCATCCTCTTTATTAGCAGCGTAGATAGAACAGCTAATCCCGATTTTCTGCACAAAGTACACCGTGGGCGACATTATTGATGTTTACTGATTACGTGCCGCTCAGTTGGTTGATAGGTACATAAAGCCGATAATTATAGACAGACAGATCCTGAAATCTCACGTGTTGCTTTTCGAGTCATATGGTGCACGTTGTGAACATACTATAAGGAGTGAAACGTGATGTCCTGGAAAAAGCTCCACTTATTGTTACATACATTCATTAAAAGTATCTCCTAGTCTACCATTATAATTGCGTAAGAGAACGGGGAAGAGACTGAACTAAGAATTGTTTAATTATACAACCAAATGGATTATACATTACGTATTTTTATTTTTTTTTTTTACATATATTGTTATTTCAGCTTAAGACCTTATTGGTGTATTGTAAGATGTTTATATGAATATTACTAAGAAATCTGAAGCTCTTGCAATTTTTACGATAAATTATTACCTACATCAGCGAGGAGTAATTAGGATAATTTTTATATTTCGTTAATATGCATGACATTTCCTTGGCACTATTCGTAGCGATGCGGTGAACAGGCAAGAATCGATAGCCAGATCACCCTTCGACGTGGTCACGGGGCTACGAGCGTGAAACAGGCCTTCTTATGCAATGATTTTTTTTTCTAACGAAGTGCAACAAATGTAGGAGAGACTCGTGCCCATTCCGTGGGAAATAATGAGGACAGTGAAAGGCCAGAAAAGCCTCAACGTAAGGACCGGCCGGCGGTAGTCACGTTTGCCAAACATGTGATCGATATTTTTTCTTTCCGCCGCTGGTTTTCGAGTTCGGTTCAGCAAATCGCGTAACTTTCTCGACACCGGGCCGGCTTAATCGGCCAATGGGCCGAGGCCGTTGCTTCAAGAAATGCGTCTTTGCAATCACCTTCTACACATATGCTCAACTAAGTACCATTTGAACAGAACAGCAGGATGAAGTACCTGCAGTCTGCAGTATCTAATAGCCACGATACAAGAATGTACACGATTTTCCGTTTGTCTAGAAAGCTTTTTAAGTTTTTCTCACGGTAGGTTCGTAAACATAGTTAACATCGATATATTAAAAACAGCTTGGTGTCTCTCTTTCTCTTTTACACTTGTTGTTAGTCTCTGGGAAGTGTATCTCTGAAACTCGTTTTACGTAAGGTGTCAGTGTATTAATTTCGTGCGAATCATTTTAACTCTGTATGCTGTAAGATGCTTCTATTTATGTGAAAGTGTACAAAGCTTTCAGTGAAACGTATAAACCTAATTGTGGTCTCATAATCAGTTAATAAGGACTTTGAGTACTACAGAGATAGTGGTTTTGAATTTTTAATTTATTTTCTTTAGGATGTTGAATTAGTAATCGCATTAAAAATGGATAGTAGTGCATACGTTCAGTAGCAACAGTCTGTCAAGGTCAGACCTACCGGATAAGCGCGGCTAGTAGTCTGGTCGATTGATTGCCGGAAATTTATTAACGTCCCAACGTTGTATAATCCGTATTACGCTAAAACGGATCTAAAAATAGAATTTTCGTGTTTCCCTTATATTTATAATTAAACAATACTAGTCTCTACGGCAATGTTTAATGATATTTTACAATTTGTATTTTCAGTAGCGGCAGTTCGGGTTCAAGGAATAGCAACCGCTCCGCGAGTAGCGGTTATTGCGGTACGCATCCCTCGACATTTGGATCCAGGTAACACATCGTTTATATATATTTCTCAAACCCAAGAATTAGTACGATCGAAGCAATAGCGACGACGTTCGATAATTGCACGATGAACCTTCTGTGAAACATTATTACGAAGAAACATGATTAAGTATGATTTGATCTCTAACGAGGAATAAATATGTTTACGACTGTAATAATTTAACGAGTACATTTGGACGGTAAACACGTGTAACAAAAATGTGTGAATAGTCATTTTAATCTAAGTAAGTACAAGATTATTATAATCTCGTTTAGTGGAACACGTGAGTAAGAAATCCATTAGAAATTAAGCTTTCTTAAACTACTTCGTACAGTTCATTCAAGAAACCATATACGATAAAGAAATTACGTAAATTGTGATCGTTTAATTACTATTAATCCCGTCATTAACAAAATTATAAATATGAATGGTGTGTACGACGGAAACACTCTACGGTTTTAAATTCAATCACACATTAGCGGAATATGAAAACCCTCGTCGGACGTTCTGAAATCATTCTGAATATCTGTTAATAGTTATTGAAGAAATGGATGTATATTGTACACAGCAAAATAATTAAAAAAGTTTACATTTATCTCGGATATAACTATTGTAATTATCTTGCGCATCGTATATTCATACAACCGCTGTAGTCAATAATAATGAATGGACTTGCATAGTGAGTTCCCGATGTGTACAACGTGCTTCTCCGTCACAAGGGTTGGAGTAACGAACAGTAGTAGGACTTCGTTTTACAATATAATTCGACAATCGTGGGATCGTAAAAAGATTTGCAATGCTTTTGATTACTTCTCGCTGAATAATTACACGATCAATTATCGTTGGAGTCATCGTGCGGCTATTTTTATCTGGTTTACAAGATCAAAAGCGTTTCGTTTCCTTACGCAAGCTATCCTTTTTCTTTTTAACGATGATCTCGTTTTTGTAATTAAATGCCTTGCGACAGTCGATGTAATGGAACGCGAACAAATTCGATATTTATTTTTATTTTCAATAGGCTCGTGTTAGTTATACGAACCGTTCTATAATTATTATCGCGAAGGTGACACAGCGTTCACACGCGCGTGGACTTTTAGCATCGTATTCACGTATCTACATGCTGGAGGAACGATTACATTCAGTTACGAGAAAGCGCACACATGGTGCTACATGCAGCTGTAAACAGTGGTGCATGTGCCGCGCCACGTGACTGTGGCTGCAATGTCGCCATCGGCGTCACCTACGTGGCATGAAATATTCCCCAAGTATTATTACATCATATTCCGGCTCTGTTGTTACCATAATAAATCAGTGGACAATTAAATTATTTTCGGTCAACGATTATAAAAAAATTGAAAGAATAGTACATATGAATTCGTGGTCTGGTTGAAGTAGCAAATCGGTTCTCATTTTCAGGAACTTAACTCTGTATAATGATACTAATAATGTCGTTTTAATCCAGCTCATTACCTTCGACGCGTTTTATTTTCATATAACGCGTGTCCGCGGCATGAATGCGCGCTTGCAGTGACACATGACGCACTTCGTTTTCTTCGTCATAACAGCACCAATACCAATTATTATACGTAGCGTATTGCCAATAATGAACCCTCTGATCAGAAAAGGAAAGTATGGACTTGAAATGAAAACTACTTGTTTACAAAATTTCTAGAGTGTAACGAACGTATTATTATTTGCAACATACAGGATTTATTGGAACCTGTTAACTAAAAATGTATAAATAATTATAGAATCGAAATTATTTGGGAGTAAGCAAAATTCGAGTCCGAGTAGAATTCCAAGCCATTTCTTTCGGTAACTTTCCTTTCTTTCTTTCACTCTTCGGCGGGACTCGTTAAGTGAAAAATACTTGCAGGGAAAAAGTCGTTGTGCAATCGTTGAAAGCTGATTGCATCGTGCGATTGAAAACGACGAATGCACACTGCGCGATTGGAAGCGACAAAACGCCACTGCTTTGCACGATGCGAAATATTTGTATAAAATGGCACGTATCGTCGCGTCGTTCGTTTATTGGTTCACGCCAATGTATTACGAGCACCGATAGTGTGGGAATATCATTGATTCTTAATATGTCACAGAAAAATAAAGAGGAAGACGGAATCTTCCGACGGAGTCGATTCGCAATGGTCAATTTCTATTTTCTGCGGTTTTGATCAAATTGTTGCACACAAAATTTGACATTTTTATTAGTTAATTCAATCGCATAAGATGATTACTTATTGAATTGTACGATTGTAGATTTCCGTCATCTTTACATAATATTCTATTTCCTTGAAGCTTAAAAAGGGCAGATAAACACTTTTCGTGTATCGATAATAGTTTTAATTACCAGGAAGTGTTTGCAGTCGGAAGTGTACGCTACTATAAACGACCGATCTGATCCCAGAGAAAGCTAAGGTTTATCGTTGAAGAAATGCGCTTTCTCTCCATTATGTAACACGTGCAGTTACGATTTGATGACTCGAAGCGTTTGTTACATAGACACCGTATTTTTATCGTAAATCCTTTTCCTGGAGAAAGCTCTCCCACAGTCTAAACTGTTATAACTTCGCTCAACTCCTACGTCGTGCAACAATGCGATAAATCTGGCTATACTTACTGTTCTATTTAAGGATATCTTAAGATATCTACATATATCTACATATTTCGATAAGATTTTGCAAGAAAATAATCAAACGAAAGTCACGATAAGCAATTCGTGTACGAAACCGTTTCCTAAACTATCTGCTAGAGACATTGAATTAAAAAATTTAAGTCTATAGACGACGTGTCTACGTTCAGATAATGCTAATCAAATATGCATCAATATTTTCTATTATGTTTCTTAAGTGACATGTTACAAACGATTTACTTAAATCTCCTCATCGATCGCGATTGCTTTATTTGAAGACTGGAAGATCCTTGTCCCCCGGCCCAATTACTTAGACAATATCAGGAGACAATAAATCCCTCGATGACACAAAACTCAAATAAGAATCCTATCGAAACTACGTTCCCCTCGTACTAATTTTTGGATTTGCCGGTAGATAAGAGATTTGATGTTTTTGCACTTGTATACCTACGTGTGTAATGTGTACGTGAACGTAGCAATGAAGCCATACCGCAGCCAATCAGCAAAAGAAAGGATAAAGAACACAAGAAGAAGAAGTCGAAGACGATTTCAGCTGTTAATGCTGAAGGAGATATTAGCCTAAAAAGTGCCGACGCACCGCCGGAGGTCGTGTCCTATAATGTCATCGTTCCAACGAAACCTGTATTTGAAAAGAAACCAGGTTGGTTGCGATTTAGAATCGTTAAGAAGAAGTGCACGTTAGCAATAAAATTCTTGACACTTCTCAGTACCCGAAAATACATCAGTAACAACAGACGTTTGAGATTACGTCTATTGCGTAACTGGAGAACTGAATATCACATTCTCTAACGTCTGACCATTCACCGGTTCGTACTACTGATTTTACTGAATTCGGTTCTCCAACATCCAACGTCGCTTTAACGTAACATGTTTAATTGGCCATGAGATTAATGCCTTTTTTTAAACGAAGTATTAAAAAAATCATTAATTTTACTTAATGTTATCTATTTCGCTTCGTGCACTTCTTTCTTCAAATAGGTTCCAATTACTTTACAACCAAAGGCTTTATACGACCATCGCTCGACTCCCTTCCCTCATGGTTTTTTTAGTCCGTCAGATCCTCGTGCGAACCCGAAACAATCGATTGCATTCGTTTTTTTAACTTCACCATTTCAGTCATTAAACTTAAATATAAAGACAGATTTAACAAATGTTTCTGTTCCACGCAGTTCGAGCTGAAATGAAACGTCCGACCGAGTAAAGTAATGACCGCTGTTGTTACCCTGGCAATTAATCTTAGCTCTATTCAATGAATAAAAGAAGGAACCGTTTATGATTCAATTACGTGATGAGATCCTTTCTCGTCTTAGAAACATTTTCTATTTGTCGCTACATTTTCTGCTTATACAATCTAACCATCTAAATTGAACTTGCAAGAACATTGTCCTCATTCCCGTTGAAGAATACAATTGTATTTTAGACGCATTACGAGCCGAAGTTAATTTCGCTGAACGAATTGTTAAACTATAACGGTACCAAGAATTACACAGTCTTCCTTAATTAGTTAATGATGCTAAATACGGGGCAACACTGAGCTTTGTATAATTTATTATAGACACGTTTGAAAGGAAGTGTTCGTATTTACGAGTTTCTGTTGCGGAGGCTGGGTCCTTGTAGAGAATAGTGAATACGTAATATTTCGAACACCAAAACCGATGTCTTGTTCCATCACCTTTACATAATTGCGCGATGCTATCAGGACAAAGACATTTTCCGAGCTTTGGCCCAGCTAGAACAGCGGTCGGACAGAACCAAGCTTTATGTAACATCAAAAAGCGCGCCTATAATTTACGTAAATATTTACATAATTTTTAATAATCTATTTCGAACAACCGATTCTTACGTCTGTTTTTTTTGTCCATCGATCATTACGAGTTTGGAACAGATTTGCTCTTCCATTTACTCATTACGAGCCTACGTTTTCTCCAACAGGGCATATTTAACCGCGAGAATAGATCCGTTGGGTAATCACGATACTCGCTCGTTAGTTCGTTGCATGGGGACTAACTACATTGTATCGTGCAATCTCTGAAAACTTATTGTTTTAAAATCAAATGTGTGCCACGTTGATGCCCAGAGATAAACCAGATCTAGGTCACAATATTTTTAAAAATAGAATATATGTTGTGTATCCCGATTTCATTTGGTGAACGAGATAGAAAGTGAGAGTCGAGAAGCAAAAATTGCCTTGGTATCAGCTCGGTGTATCATCCAGCGATTTACCCGCAACAGTTTTGCTTAATTTCCTATCATTATTTTTTCGTTTGATTCGTAAGTAATGAACAACTCCAAGCCTTTAGTTCGTTAGTCGTCCTGTTGGACTAAGGAAACACTTCATTCTTTTCATCCCTTATTCATTATCTATTTAGCAGATCACATCTTGCATATACGTTTCTTGGACGCCCGCTACTCTTCAGATACCTTGCCTCTGGCTGGGCATTAAAAAACTTGTTAAAATTTATATACAATGAAAAAACACTGACACATAAATGTACTATCAGAAATTCTAAGAAGCCGCGGGATGTCCACGAAACGTTTCTTTTAAATGTGGTCACTGCTGCTTGGATATGAACAATCCTTGTCTCGCAAGCAAATCCGGGGCATGTCCAGAAAGAACGAAATATAACGACGAGAATTTTTCTTGGGTGTACACAAGAAGAAGTAACCACTGTAGAATTGGTGGATGCAACGGATCCCGGCGAGCACAACGGCGATTCTCTCACAGATGTGGAAGCAGGACTTGCTTCTTATACGATTCCTCTGGATGATTCCATCTCTCAGGCCAACGTTAGTATTTATTAAAAAAAATCAGGGAAATAGTTTACCCATAGCTAGTTAAGTATGGTAAAAGGACACGTAGAATAAACCAGTAATTATATCAGTAAAAAGACTCCTTCCAAAAGTTCCTTCTTAGGGAGGTTCAGGATCGGACATGCTTGTAGAAGCATCCTGCTATCTAAATACCATATACTATTGTCTACACTGTCAATTGTAACCCAACTGCTTGCCAACAAATGCTAAATCGAAATAGAAAGCTATCTTCTTCTGTTTATTTAATCAATAGAATCTGTAACAATAGTATGTATCACCATTGTGAGAGTTGTATTATGGTGTGCATGGAGAAAGGAGATTCATACGCATTAGCCACTAATAAAATTAGACTTTTTAGTTTAATGGTTGGTTAAGTTATTAAAAGTAGTAAAAAGTAGAACCTTTATCACAATTCTTAAATTTCGCACAATTTTCTTTACGAATAATTATTAAGAAGAGCAAAAGAGCTTACTTCAGTTTAGTGGCTTATCAAACAGGTGAAGGGTTACTAATCAAGTTCTGTTCTTTTACGAGCATTCCATAAAAATCTATGAAATACTTAAAATCAATTCAAATGAATGGAAACTTTGAATCTTATCTTTATTGGAATAAAACTCTTTTCTCTGTGCATTTTGTTCAAAATTAATTATTTTATTATATAGTAAAAATATTTCAAATGTTTTGTGATAAACGAATTTCAAAATTTGCATGTTGGGATAATACATAAGCAGAAGAAAGTCGGAATAAATTAATCCAGGCTAGAGTAGCGATGAGTTTTTTACTTAACGATTATAAAAGAATTGAGCTTCGAAATATGATCCTGACGCGGATAACGTAGATTCAATTTTATCTACGTGATATTCAACAATTTCCTGGAAAAGGCTGTTAGCATCGTTGTAGGATAACCCTTTGGTCTTGTGTATCCTATAGGAGGGATTTTGCGCGGTGATTTCGATGCATGATGGCCTCGTGTTGTACACGACTTCTACGATATGCACAGCTCTAGGATATCCTAAGGACGCTTGGATCGGTCGCTCCTTCATCGATTATGTTCACCCCAAGGATAAGGTCACCCTAGCTGGCCAGATTACGAGCGGTATAGTTTCACCTCAAGGAGACAATCCGAAAGGTATGACTTAAATTCTTTTTTAATTCCTGAAGTTTATAATCTCAGTTAACTCGCTTCGACGTAATTTGTATCCAATTATACACAGGTTTCCGCGCCGAAGTATTACAGTGCGTTTTATGAAGGTTTCATTAAAATGAAACTAATGACCGACTTTTATCAGTTTTCAAAATATTGCGCTTCCACTGATTTTCAATGAATAGAAGAACCCGCTAGGCTTGGAAGAGCCTATTCATGTGATCACTGTCGCCTTCCTTGTCGCCCGACACTGTCCGTACTTTTGGTATCGGCAGCTGGTTTTCTTTTCAGAGGTATAATTGCACTTGAGGAGAGTGACCACATGAATAGAACCGTTATTTACCTTTCTTAGCTGAGCAGATTCCTTTACTAATAAAATTCCTAATCTACGTAGTCTAAGGGTCGGCTTTAGCGAGGTAATAAAATTCGTCAGGTAGTTAAAACCGATACCTTCCTAATGACACCCCTTGCTGCTTTTACAGCACCCAGGACTGTAACATTTCGACGTGGACAGCCTGTATAGTACTATGCTTATTATTACAAAAGAACTAATTTGTGAAAAAATCTTTCGGGTCTAATGAATTGTATATATTACTGGATCAGTAATTAGATTTGTCAAATTTCTTTTAATATAAATGATTACGCTTTGCCAGGTATAAACGGTAGAAGAGCGAGCTTATTCTGTGGACTGCGGAAATACACGAGATCTCCTGTTTATGAATTAAACAGCGAGCATAAAGAACGAAGAACGAATTTGTATCTTCCGTTCCACTTGACTTTGTCGTTCAGAGACTTTCGCGACCGTACAACTGAACAGAAACACAAAGCAATGTTCCTGGTGGTTACTGCCCAACCTGTTCATTCTGCATACAAAGGTAGTGTGATTGAAGATTCTCAAGGAGAGTCAACTAACAAAAAGATTCGATAAATTGTTCTCTTGAAGAAAAAAAGAATATTTCTTTTTTAAATAACGCTAACAGATTTCGAGTTAGATAAGTCGTTGGAAGTATCATTTATAATAAAATAACGATGATCAAGAATCGTTCGGTTAGTTTAGCCTCCTCGACGATACTATATGACTCGGTGGTTTCCATGGCGACGTGCCTTAAAAAGGTAACATCCATTAAATTAAAAGTGTTTTTTGGAGGATCGTGACGATGTTGATAGTCTCTTATCCTTGTCGTTTTTTCAGTTATTCGTTTTCTTATCTTCTGGCCAATTTTTCGTTTTCGTTCAGTTTGGAGACCACTGTTTAAATGTCATAAGAACGGCAGAAATAATTCATCATTTGTCATGAATAGATGAAAGCTTATTACGTTTTGCATGCTGAGCATTTCCTATAATTAAAAAGAAATCAGACGTCGGAAGAACAATGCTAATAATAAATAGCCACGTGCTAACAAGTATAGAAGGAAATATCCAATTAATTATTGACGTTGGCGAAAAGTTTTTTATATAGAAATTGTGGG